CATTTTGCGCTTCCCACCGAAATCTGAGTTGATCATGCTGACTGACTAGATCTAACTCTTCCAGCTCAACTGTGTTTTCCATTCTTGCCGTCGGAACTACCATCGTCAGATCGCCGAAATTCGCTGATCATTTATCGTTACATGTGAAATCGGGGTAAATGGCATCATATCTTCACCAAATTCATCCAATGATCTAGCATACCATCTTGTTGATGAATCAACCATTTTGAATGATCTGCTTGATGGCGGCTTTCTTTGAAAATCTGCGCTCGGTACAATATAGCATATACTGCTTGTTCTCCCCCGTTTCATTTATTCCGACCCAGTTCAGGTCTCGCTCACTGCCGCGCCCCTGCCAACTGCTCCTTTTCCTTGAAGCTAAACTTTGCAACAGCATTTATGTACATATGTGCCCACATAAAGTTAGGGTTAGTAGTAGGGGGTGTAGTTATAAGCACTGCCGGCGCCGGCCACGTAGTCACTTCATTCCACGAGTTAAATAATAGGATCTAACTCCTCCAGGTCAACTGCGTTTTCCATTCGTGTGGAGCCTTCAAAATTGCGTAGGTTTTGTTCGGAAGAACAAAGCATGGCCCATTGGCCAGAGATCGCATGCCTGAACATCCTGCACAGATGATCGGGTAGTCGAGCATGTATAGTGCTGAACTAGCCCAAGATGTAGGGCATTTGTCGATCCATTTTTGATAAGTGGCCCTGTTGATATAAATTCAGATAAAACAAACATTCGGATGTGTATCCGGGTACGTAGTTTGGGGAAGTGAACTCGTTTCGAGGACGTGTATTATTCCCCCAACTAAATCGAATACCCAGCTCCATCAAAACTGAGCGCTGGTGCTTCTCGAAAGCTACAGATCCTCCTAGAAGAAGGATTTTCTAGAGGGCAGTCATTTGCTACGAAAGCGTTGTATCAACGTTAGTGACTTATGTCATAATTAAAATTACAGCTAGAAAGTTCCGGATGGACATACATATCAACACAGCTTCCGACTTGTGGATTGATTGGTCTTTGAGCGCTTTCGGCTGTGTAGAGCGGTTCGGGTAAGCTGTCCTCCCAGAAATCATCACGAACCATCTCTGGGAAGGTGTCGTAGGCTTTGTCGACGACGTTGAGTCCGACCTCAAAAAAAAGAAGAATTCAGCAATTGCATATTCAAGATGTGCGTAAGCTGAAAGCCGACGATATTGAAATTAATCTTACAGTGGCTGGGATGTTCGGATTGAATACGTCTCTCCACTTGCCGTATTACTTCATGAGACTTACCTTTCTAATCTCGCTCTTTCGTCATTGCCAGAAAATTTGGAAAAAAAACAACTGTGGACGAGCAAAAACCTCTACTGAGGCCAAGCAATCCTGTCCTAATAGAACCATCATATCAGATTGCTGACTCGTCTACCGAGATCCTGTTAGAACGTTTGTAGCGCGCTTGGGTCAACTAACACTGAGCGAAAGTTTATTATTTTAGTAGAGAAGCTGCCTTCAGGATCGCTTGACACCAGAGAGAATTGCTGTCGATGGTCTTTCGACGTTTCAAGCTCGGGCGAAGGTGAAGGAGCGAATGTAAGCAAAATAAAGAGTTCGATGAAGAGACTTTAACAAAATTTCCGCTTCAAAAAGGTCGAGGTCGAGTTAAAAATCGAACTCATCAAGTCGTTGCTGACGCTTGCTAGAGACGTTTGATGGTCAAGAAGACCTTAATTAACCCGGTCATACTCACCTGCAGATTACGGTCCAATATGTAATTGCATTCAAAATCGTCGTCGTCTTCACCAAGAGGATTGAGCAGCACCTCAGCAACCTGTCGATATATTATTGGTTAATGTCGCATAAGCCAGAGAGATCAATAAAAGAAGACTTCTCATAAAAAAAGAATTCACTGATGTTCATTAAAAGGAGGACGCCGTTCAAATGCGGATTTCACGACGGGAAGGAAGCTTTTGTAAAAATTAAGTTAAAAATGGTCAGTGATGCACGAAAGAAGAAAAAACCAAGAAAATACTCTAAAATCCGGAGAAAGGTACCGCTTTCTTGCCTGTTAATATTCGACTTTATGTGGCTGCTGGCTTCCGCTGAATGGCTAGAGACTCACATTGAAGATGACGCGAGCGGGGTGTAAGCGCAAATGTGCCGCAGGGAAGTCTACGCTATATTGCCTCGTGCATATGATTTGATGCGAATAGCGTGTCGGTCCCCACCCTTGAGATATCCGCCCATCTCTTCAATAGTAGGTAGGTTCACCCCTTCTTCCACCCTCGTCCTTATCGTGATATTCTTCCTTTAAGGGTTTTGTTAAAGGTCTCGCGCTAACTTTCTGATACCAGTCCTGTCGCTGGAGGCTGACGCGCTCTCTTCTTCCATAGCACCTCTTTTCTCAAATATTTAATTTGTTTATTTGTGACTAGCACGTTTTACTCGTGCGTATTGCTCGTGAGTTAGCAACAGAATGCAATATTGCTTTATATAAAATAAGAGGCAAATATTAAGGTTGCCAAAAGTTAACCATCTCGCTTTCACTTTTACAACCACCTCAAGGTTTCGTTTTCTTTAGCTGATTTGAACGGTCGCACCACATGCCCTCTTTACTGGATGAGATCCCAGTTCGCCTTTGTTTGAGGTGCCATTCTCTTTCTTCAAAAATCCAGATGTGATTGGTTACGCTACTGACCAAGCATTCTCGCGTAAGTAAAAGCCAGTTCAAGGGCCCTTTCTATCACAATTCGGTCAGGTATGTGATCCGTGGTAGCAGTCATCAATTTTGCTTCTTAATATCAGTTGGCTGTTTACGACTATACAGGTAAATTAAACGAAGCGATCGTGACGATTCTCAGGTGGAGAAGAATTCCACACATCATTCACGGAAGGCGATGGGAATGAAGATCGTTAGATTTTACACGTCAACCACGTATCGGTTACGAAACATTCCATGCCGAAACGTATGTGGTGGGGAGTTCCGGAAGTTGAAGCTTAAAGCAACAATCCAGGAACGAATTCGCGGGTAAGGACCACCTATAATGACGTTGCAGGTGAGAAGTTGGTCAATGGAGAAAGAAAAAGTAGAAAAAAACGTCGGGCAGGGGCTTAGACAGGGACTCCCCCTGCCGTTTAGGGAGACGTGTGTTGGACGAGTTGTCCGAACCTGCCCGCAGTACATGCGCTCCAATTGCGATTGCTTGCAGAAACTTGGCTACTTGCCAGCAATAGCAAAGCCGCAAATCAGAGATGTGATATTGAAATGAAAACGAAAC